CGTCAAATGTTTGTAATACATATGAAAGCATTTTTAGAAAGATGACATTAATAAATTTTTGCAAAATAAATTTCATGTCGCTGAGATGAACAGCTGTTGAGATATTTGCCTGTGAAGTAACAGGAAGTGATGTCATAGGGGAATGTCTGAATGTAAACAGAGCGTTGTTACAACAGCTGATAATCCAGACTGTAGAGAAGAATCTGATGTTTCTGTAGATTATTTTGTTTCTATCAGACATGAAGAAGAGTCAGAGCTCAAATAATGTTTAAATTTTACAGATTTTCTTTGTTAGAGTTCCTCTCTGATGTCACTTCCTGTTTCACTTTGAACCAAGTTCAAAGGAAAATCTGCCGTTCTGAGATAAAAAAGGTTAAATCTTGTTTATRATTGCAACTTTCTGAAATATCAAGATGTTTTCTTTGACGTTTTATTTTGAAGGAGACATGTCAGGAACTTTAAAATTATTTCTCAGAAATCAAAGTTTTTCACAATAAAAGTCCTGATTTCAGGATTTAGTTGTAGAACCAGCCTGACTGGACTTCTGTCCCCCCTGCAGCATCTCTGGGGGACGTGTCCCGCTACACCCGGGACTTCACGGACCCGGGCGAGGTGGACTCGTACCTGTCCCTGAACGTGAGCTCGGCGCTGTGCCTCACGGCCCGGGTTCTGCGGGCCTTCCCTCAGAGAGCGGGTCTGAGGAGGACCGTGGTCAACGTCTCGTCTCTCTGCGCCCTGCAGCCCTTCCCCTCCTGGGTTCTGTACTGCACCGGCAAGGCGGCCCGGGACATGGCCTTCAGGGTCCTGGCTGAGGAGGAACCGGACCTGCGGGTTCTCAGCTACGCCCCAGGTAAGAACTGGACCAGCAGCAGGACCGTCTGGTTCTGAAAGAGACTTTAAATCTCACCAAGTTCTGCTGGGTTTCTTTGTCGTTTTGGGTCRGAACCAGGACCTCTGGACACGTCCATGCAGGTGGAGGCCCGGTCCAATACGGCCGACCCGAAACTGAAGAAGACCATATCGGACCTGTCGGCTCAGAACCAGCTGCTCAGCTGTGAGGAGTCCTGCTCCAAACTCATGAAGGTTCTGCTGGAGGACCGGTTCACGTCAGGAGCTCACATCGACGTGTTCGACGTGTAGACGGGTCGGTCCAGACGGGTCGGTCCAGACYGGTCGGTCCAGACGGGACGGTCCTGACGGGACGGTCCAGACGGGTCGGTCCAGACCAGTTATTCACCGGTACTGATCCAAACCGTTTCAGATTTTACAGAACATCAGTCTCTCAGTAAACAAACATCTGTTGACCCAAACTGACAGAACCTGGGTCCAGTTTCTCTCAGGACCAGGTTGAAGAGGTTCTGACAGAACCTGGGTCCAGTTTCTCTCAGGACCAGGTTGAAGAGGTTCTGACAGAACCTGGGTCCAGTTTCTCTCAGGACCAGGTTGAAGGGGTTCTGACAGAACCTGGGTCCGGTTTCTCTCAGGACCAGGTTGAAGGGGTTCTGACAGAACCTGGGTCCGGTTTCTCTCAGGACCAGGTTGAAGGGGTTCTGACAGAACCTGGGTC